AAACACCAAAGGGTGAAGTATAGCAGATTTCTATTTAAAATTTGGTCTAATATAAGGAGTCTTTTTTGGACTGCCTTTCTAATCCAATTATTCACAGCTGTTCATTGGGGAAGGACATCCAGGGACGTCCAGTCCATTTTTAGAATGTGAAATGAGAAATTTTCTTTGGTTGGCTCTGTTGTTTGCCAGCTGGCCTGATTTGAAATGTCAGTAAACTGGTGTTAGTTTTGGACAGGAGAGTGTGGGTCAACATGAGGGGTGGGGGTTAACAGCTGGTAAGAGGGCATGTGCTGTAGGAGGAAGAGACAGAGGAGGTGAAGCTAAATTTTCGAGAAGTGTCAGGGGAGCATCAGTATTTGCACAAGACAGCCAATGAAGGCATGTCTTTTTTTAGATTTAGATTTTTTTAGGTTTAGAGTGAGCAAGCTTGAAAACTGAGTGTTTCTCTGATAGACCTGCGATGGCTTATCTGCACAGAGGGCACACAGCTGTCTGCAAAGGGGTGACTCGGTGGGTCGTCGCCATAATTCCCGCAAAAGATATTTCTGGGGTTTCATACACAGCGAGAACTTTGTAAATTAAGCTTTGTCCTGATTTGAAATGTCTTTAAGCCTTCCTGCCGTTCCCATCCGTCCTTATGGCTCTTCAGGATTGATTAGAGGGATTGGCAGCTTTTTTCCCCTGTGACTGTTATTGAGCTTTTTTGCTGGTCAGTATCAGGTCTTACAGTCTCCATGTAGTGAGTTCTGGACACGTGGGTATCTGAGCATCCAGTTCCTACTATGGAGTGAAATCTAAAGAACCACACCCAGAAGTTCAATATCATTTAGGATCAAAAAAATATGTTAGTTTCTAATATTCCCTTTTTAGGAAGAACAAGTACTTTTAATTTACGTAATTGCTCATATCTAGATAAAATTCTGAGCTCTTTCAGGGCAGGAACACTCAGACTTCTGCCAATCGCCAAACAGGCCAAAAATGTATGAGATTATTAATAAATCTTAAAACTTTTTATTGTGGGTTTTTTTTAACTCCTAACAAGGCAGCCCCCATCCTAGCTCAGAAGCAGTCAGATCGTTGTTTTTGTGCTCTCCTTTTATATGAGAACAAGAGGTCACTGGATGACATTACTGCTTTGTAAATTTAGAACAAATAAAAGGAAATGCTACTTCACCTAGTGCGTCGTCATCCTGTGGAATATACTGTTCCAGGATGTTGGTCAAAAGCTGTAGCCGGAACGTAAAAAATAGCTAGACCATGCTTGTTTCTAGCCATGTTTGCCAAGAGGGATAACCAAGCCTCGTGTTCAGAGCATCGGCTCATCGCGGCTGTAGCTGAGAGCAAACACCCCGGGCTCCCTGGCTGGGGAAGGACAGCTTTTCAGGGGGAAGATTGCTGTGGCTTCTTTTGGAGATGACAAGAATATTTTTCTTTTTGTGTGTGTCAGACATTAGATTGATGGCAGGTCTTGTCTAGACAGCACAGTGTATGTAATAGCCTTTCTCCCTCTGTTAGTATCCTTCAACAGGTGGATGTCAGGAGTTGAAATTACTGGCTCAGGTAGGAGGAGGTAAAAGTGGGAAGGATGAGTGTTGTTCTTTCCCTGTGAGTGAGAGCACGTTTCTGTTAATCTCAGTTCTGCCCTTACTCAGGACCAATATTGTGGCGTGCCTGTTGCATGTCAGCCTGCGCAGGTAAGAGCCCAGCGCTGCCTGCAGCGCTGGGAAAGCAGGAGTGTCGTATGCTCACGAGGTACCCGGTGTTGGCTGTTGTGTGTGAGGCTGTTTGAAAGGCGAGAACTGTTGAACCACTACTTTGCGAAGGAAGTGTCCCTATTAACGTGTTTCTGGATTCCTAATTATCCTCATTAAAATGTTTTAACTGTAGCACCACTCCATGTTCATCAGAAAGACGGGTTTGTATGGTTTCTTAATTCCCCCAAAGAATTGTTGCACTTGTTATGTTAAAATCTTACCTGTCCTTCACAGTAAAACCTGAATTGTCCCAGTTTGTCTTCCCTAGAATAGGAGTGAGGTTTGAGATTGTATTCTTTATTTCCCATTTCTGATTATACCACTAAATCCCAGTGCAAATGTTGCTTTAGAACTGACTTAATGGGGAATGCTCTTCATAAAAACGTCTTGCACGGAGTTACATTTTATTTGTAGTTACACAATAGACCCTTTATTTTAATTCTGTGACTCTTTGTCTTGATGATAGAAGTATGAAAGTCTTCTTGATCTCTTTATTTGTCCTCTTTATAAAAAATTAACTTTGTTCTTTTGAACAAAGGATTGTCAAATGCTGAATGTGGGGATTTTTAAGATGATGCAGTAGGTGACTTAAGAAGGAATTAGTGTTTTTCTATATTGGACAGTCTCTCCAGTGATCCAGGAAGTCAGTAGCCTCAGAAATTAATTCTTGTCAAAGGAGTGTCTGCATTTCTGTATTTTATGCCAATATTTTAGATTTCATGTCTTCCAAGGTGATTTAAAAATGATACTATGCACTTGGCATTTGCCTTTTTTTCCCCCTCCAAAAAAGAGAGAATAGGAAAAGGGGCAGCATTGGAGTGTTCTGAAATGGGATTGTGATGATAATAAATTAATTTATATTCTTTTTTCCCACTGCCCAAGAGCGTGCCAGTGGCTTGTTGAACGAACTGGTGGTTCCTTATAACAACGGGCTGGTTTTAAAGTGATGAAAGGTCTTTGGATGCTTCGTCCTAGGATGTTTGGACTTTACATAGGGTACTGTTGTACATATACAATTATAGATGTTCTTGGCTTTGCCACCAGAAAAAGGTGGGGCCCTGTGCTGTCTGAAAAAATTATTTGAACTTGTTTTACTTTCAGGGAAGAAGCTGCTTCCTCTTAGCAGGACTTCAGAGATGCTGCTCGTTGTTCTCTAACTTCACACTGATTTTTGCGGTAGCATTTCATTCTCTGTAAAAGGTTTCTGTAGGATCGCCTTTCTTACACAGCAGAGTTTTTGATGGAAATACAGTTAACCACCCACTTCTCCACTTTCTAAAGGAAAAAAAAAGACTCCTGTGATTACCTTCTTTGGGAATAAATCTTATCAGAGCTGGAATTGTCCAAAGGAAAAGTCAGGGAAGAGGGAAGGAGTTCTTCAAAGTTCTATTTTTAGAAAATTGCAAGTACTTATTTCTGTTTGCTAACAATTGAGACAGATCAGATCATTTTGTCCAAGATAGAATGCTCCACGCCAAAACTGTGTTTCTAATATGAATGGCCAGTCTTCCCTTTAAAAAGGTACCTCGCTCCATTCATTGCCTACTTAATGTGTCTACAGCAGCCTTTTCTGGGTTTTGGCAATGCCTCTGGGTGAAGTTAGTTATTGCAGGTGAATGCTGCAATCTGTCCTAAAAGAAAATGTATTTTGAAAACTGAAGAGCTTAAAATGAAGCAGAAATTTACAGTTGTATCTTTTTTTCTTGATTACATACACATTTCTTAGTGGATGCTCTGAGGCACTTCAACATCACTACAAGTTTTATGTTCAACTTCAGAGGTTTTTATTTTTGATCTGTTTTATGAATCATAATGAGAGAAGTGAGAGACTGGAAAATGGTAATTAACAGGGGCCATGTATGAATTTTTTAGTGTTCATTAATAAAACTTTGGTTGCGTGCTTGTGAGAGCCACACGAGCCTCATCAACCTGCCACAATCCTGGTTTATTTTAATCCGTTATTTCAGATGTTATGGTACAATTTGCTGGAAAAGCAGATGATGTAGACAATCTTTATCATGTACAAAATACAGAGGGACGCAGGAGTGTCTGGGCTGCTGGAAGTTTTTAGAATTGACATGAAGAGGAGTTGTCTTATTTTTGTTAATGGTGCTCAACCTTAGTGCAGCTTTTTTTTAGATCCAGGTCTTTCAAATACTTCAATATTGGTCTAATTTAAGAAGTCAGTTGGATGGAAATCAATATGGAGGTGGGCACAAGAAGACACTATTAGAAAGATAACTACGTAGTAGGCAAGAAAGACTTTTGTCCTCGGAAGAATAAATGTTGATTTATAGTCAGGTCTGGAGCCCAGCTGAATGGGCAGCCTGTGGACAGCAGACATGGTCCTCTGAAGAGCTAGGAGTTTTTATTTCTCTCTGCTGCCGCCATCTGACAAAAAGAGAGAGCATCGGCAGTAACTATACAGAGACCCTCCTGGGCAGAGGGGAGCCTCAGCCGCCCTGCGTGTCTTCTACTGGTTTGTTCCAACACCCAGCTGTTTGTTTAACACAGGGCAACTAATGTGTGGGAATTACCCAGGGTAGAAACACACTGAGGACGATATTTTTAGAGGGAGGCAAACTCACCACAACCTCAAGCTGCTAGTGGAACGCTTGTTGCAGTATCTTTTATGTAGTAAATGTAGAACAAGCCCTCAGGAAACATGAGGGTTCAAAATACAGGGTTTTTTTTCTAGACTGCTTATTTGATTTCTCCTCTGGATTGCTTATTTTGTTTGATTTCTCCCCTCCTTCCTCCCCACTTGTGATGGCTCTATACAGGTTTTTAGTATGCTATTACAGAGCATGTTATCTAATTTATTAATTCCTAGAAACTGGTATATTATGCTGTTAACAAAATATTTTAATGTTGTTGCCCATTTAAAAAGTCATTAAGTACTTAAAAGAAATTTATGCAAGTTCTGCACATGTAATATATTAACTTTTCCTGCTCTGTGCCTGATTTGTGTTGTGCTGTTATTTGGGTCTCAGAGATGTCTTTACTCAGTTCAGTATTGGGAATGATAGCTAAAATCTCTGAGGTTCTATATATTTATGAAGGAATTAAGGTACATTATGGTGGAAGAGAAACGTGGTTGAGAGGTGCAAATAACTTCCATTCTGTTGTGCAGCTCACTGCCTGTGAAAATAGCTTCACTAGGCTGCACCAGTGACCATGTGTTCTCTTTCTGTCTCTCACTGACATGCCCAGAATACACATTATTAATTTTCTCTCACTCTTCAGATTATCACTCCATGTCGGAAGCTCATCCTTTGTGCTGATAACAGAAAAGAGATGGAAGATTGGATTGCAGCACTGAAGACTGTACAAAACCGTGAACATTTTGAGGTAATAGGAGAATGTGTTCCTTTGCACTCTGTGCCTCTCCTCCTAAACAACAGCTTGTTTTGAGCTTGGAGTCAGCTTCCAGTGAAGCTAATAGAAGTAATTTTTATTGACTATAATGTGCATAGTTTTAGGCCTTCTGTAAAAACTGTCCCAAATACACTGAAGTGATTCTCCAAATGATGCTTGTGGCTTTGTATACTATCCCTCGGTAACTTTGAGAGCACTTTTCAGAGTATGGGTAGGTTATGAAACACAGTTCTCCTCCCATTGTGTTTTCACTTTTCAGTTATCCTTCCTGCCCTAATTCACATCTTGCCTGCTTGGTATTCTGCCTATGTCCGTGCATCTGTTTGTTTTCTGGGGCTGTAGATAGATCAGCACCGCCACCAAAAGAAGCTGTGTTGTGTTTTCCCCACTCTGATGCTTGTCTCTCTGTTGTCTCCTCCCTTACGCTGGCATAAGCATTTCTCTACTATGCAATAAACCAGATTGGGGAATTGATCTTGCTGAAAGCTTAATTCAACAAAAAAATGGGGAGGGAAGGATCAACTCTCCAGCAGATAAGTTCTCCAGTAGTGAGACAAGGCTGGGAGGTAGGACAGGAGCAGGCATGAAGGTGTGGCTCCTTATTCAAGTAGTCTCTTCTGGCTTAAAGACCTTCTTGATTTACAGCTAGTGTGTATAAACTGCATGTGGCCTACTCTTCCCTAGTAAAAGTTTCCTGTTTCTGCCTTTCCTGACTGCGACGTGCAAGTTTTTCTTTTAAGGAAAAAAAACTCGTGTTACTCTACTTTAGACTTTGCTGTAATACATTTTATTTCATTAGTCTACCCAGTACAGCATGGACCATTTCTCAGGGATGCATAACTGGTACGCCTGCTCGCATGCTCGGCCAACGTACTGCAACGTGTGTCGGGAGGCATTATCTGGAGTCACATCTCATGGGCTCTCATGTGAAGGTAAGCGTGCTTCCTTGTCTCCTGTTAAGGGAGTGTCACCTTTAGAGCTCAGTACCATGTTCCAGAGATAATTTAAGAGGAGTGTTGTTAACAGTCTGCAAAAAGACGTAGAAAAATGTTGCATAATAAACTTGAGAGCGCTACAGGCTGTGTATGAGACTGGAGGTCTTTTCTGGACCTGATGCTGAAACCCTTTGCTGCTGAATCCCTTTGGCTTCACAGAGAATTTTCCTGCAGAAGTCAAGATCATGGTCTTGGCATTTTATAAAAGGATAATATATGTGATGACGTTTTCATGCTGGTTTTGGTGTTGGACCTGATAGTAATATAGCTGATTTTTTTTTCCATATACCCAAATAATGCTATTTTTTATTAAAATCATGCTTCTGAAGTGAACAGGTATCATATATCTATCTGAGGCATCAGATAGAATATTCACAAGAATGCTCCTGTTCGTGAGAATAATCATATTTGTAAGAACATCCTTGTAAAGTGTTTGAATGCCAGGAGGTTATTCTTTTTCAGCTTTGGCATAGCAGACGTGCCTGACTGCGTACAGCTCATACTTCCAGCGTGAGTGAGGTTACACCCACACTGTGTGAAAGGATGCAGGAGTGTATGACTATGTAAATCATGTCAAATTTAACAAGGTGATAACTAAGCTTTGTACAAGCAACTGGCAGAAGTGACAAGGCAGGAATTCATAGCTAGCTCATCTTACTCAGTATGCATAGAGCTGATAGTTTTGGCAGTGCTAACAAGGGTAGTGTGTGCCCATGCTTTCTTCTGGAGCCAAATATGGTCACTTGGGAAAGCTTTTGCACAGACTGCCACATTACATGTTCTGAGGCAGGATTAAAACATTCTTCTCTTTCTCTCTAGTGTGCAAGTTCAAAGCCCACAAGCGGTGTGCTGTGCGGGCAACCAATAATTGCAAGTGGACAACTCTGGCCTCTATCGGGAAGGATATCATTGAGGATGAAGATGGGGTAGGCATTAGTGTTAACTCTTTTAGCCTTATCTTGATGTGGAAGCACTGGCATGTGCTCTACAGCGTTCTTCACTGTACAAATAGCAGATTCTGCCTTTATATGTTAGCGACGTGGGAAAGCCCTTTACTGTCAGAGCATGAGATTCTGCGTGAAATGTTCAACTGGGGCAGCGAGGACTCCTTAGTGGGAAGAGTCTCCTGCTATGGACCTGGGAAGTTGAGGTTAAATATGTGGAGGCATGGGGCACCTGCTCTGAGTTTTAGCAAAACAAAGATAGACGAGTGGTTGGAACAGTACCTTAGCATATGGGATGTCTGATGCAAGCCAGTGTTTCCCGAGTAGCCTGGGATGAGTCACCTGGTCTCTTTGTGCTTGAGCGTGATGTAAAATGCCAAAAGAGGTCCTCAGGTGTTTTCTAGAAATTGCCTTTGCTGTCCTTAAACAGTGCATTTAAAGACTTGCCTCTCTGTATGTCTCAATGCCACAGTGCATCCTGCGCCTTTGAGTTGCACTCTGGAAAGCCCATATTGCTTCTCTCCCTCCGTACCATTTGCAGATCTCAATGCCACATCAGTGGTTGGAAGGAAACCTGCCCGTGAGTGCCAAATGCACTGTGTGTGACAAAACCTGTGGCAGTGTCCTACGTTTGCAAGACTGGCGCTGCCTTTGGTGCAAAGCCATGGTGAGTTGAATAAACGTGATCATTTCATTAAAACCATAGCCTTTGATCAGCTCTTGGGAGTGTTCTTTTAGTGACGTTTACTTAAAATGAAACCTCTAACCGTGCTGTCAGTGTTTGCCATGAAGGGCTTTATTGTTCTTTCTCCACGTGATAAACAGCCTGCAAGAGATAGAAATTTAAATTTGTGCTGAAAAGTATCACTGTGATGCATAAAAAGTAAGACCTGAAATAAGTATATAGCTTCTCTGCAAGCTCATTTTCTTTTGATAGTGAGCTTTCATAGCAGAATTTAATTACACTAGACAGGAATCAATGTCTCGGGCATGGGAAGTGTTGGATTTTAAGGAACCATCATTCAACATACAAGTTGAAAAGGTACAACAAAAAAGGTGATAAAGAATAGTACATAATTTTAATAATTGCAATTTCCTTTCCCATTGCAATAGGTTTCTCTTGCCTAAGCACTGCAGTGATGCAGATCTTGCTATGTTTCCAGTTGTCTATAAGATCAATAGAAGTAGTGTCACAAAATATGTGTGAGGTGGGAGCTCAAACCCAAAGCAAACCCTCTATCTTGCAGTCTTTGTGTACCAGAAATGGCTGAAATGCCCTACTCTACTTCGTGTTTCCTTTTTTGGGTGGCTTTATTAATCCCTTCTTCTCTTACCTCTTTATGTCCCTCATGTCTTCCTGCTTTGTTTTCAGCTTTCTTGTTTTCTTGAATTCCTAGCTTTTTCTTTTGTTGCTACTTTTGATCTCAACTGAGGCTAAGGTTTTGAAAGCAGAAATGCCTGAAGGCTCTTAAAGCCACATGATCTGTTACCTGGTCCTTTCAGCACTCAAAGTGCTAGTCTCATAAATTCAAATGTCAGAAAAAGTACATACTAATGGAAGGAGGAGAATCAGTAGAAGACTCTGATTAGATCGTTCTTAAAATAACTTTATTGATTGACATTTCCTTGGATTCTCCCCCTCTTCCTGTCTTACTCTCCCTTTACAGCCTCTTGCTGGGTGGCTTTATGAGTTACACCACAGTGCCCAGAAGAGTCTGAATGAATGTTTTTTTCTTGGTGTTTTCAGGTACACACAGCATGTAAAGAGTTGTTGCCAAACAAGTGCCCTCTTGGGCTGTGCAAAGTATCTGTCATTCCTCCTACTGCTCTTAACAGCATTGATTCAGATGGTAAGTATCACTAGTGAGTAGTGCCTGCTTTCTCTTCCTCTCAGTCACGGTCCCTTCAGCTAATGCTATTAATGCCAGACTCTATCAACTGAAAACTCAGCTTTTTGGTGTTGCTGAAATTCCAAACTGGAATATATTGCTGAAGTATGGCAGTGAACTGTTTGCTTTGCTTCAGTGTTCAGTTTATTACCCTGTAACGTCAGTATTTGCTGAGCTGCAGCTGTTAAAATTTATTGAGAACAACTATATTGCAGAAGCAGTTTGGGAAGGTTGGGGAAGCTGAAATTTTGGCATGCTGCTAGGAGATAAGTGTGACATTTGGCAGCATGAGGATGGTTCGTGCTGGATTCAAGGCTGTCTGCATTTGGCATTTACCCAGTGAGTGCCATAAGCACAAGGGAAGTATTAGCTTCTTCATAGTTGTGCTGGGGTGTGGGGTGTTGTTTTTTTCCTCGCTCCATCTCCATGCGCAGCTTCACATCTCGTGGCTTTTCCTCCCTTTTCCCTTCCCTTTTCTCTGACAGGTTTCTGGAAAGCTACTTGTCCCCCTTCTTGCACAAGCCCTTTGTTAGTCTTTGTCAACTCAAAAAGTGGAGACAACCAAGGTGTAAAATTTCTGCGAAGATTCAAACAGCTACTGAATCCAGCCCAGGTCTTTGACCTCATGAATGGAGGACCTCACCTTGGGTAAGCAGATATTCTATGGAAGCACACATTCCTTGTAAATGCCAGAAAAGTACGAGTGATTTATTTGATTATAAGCTCATCCTCAAATATAACAAGGAACTTATTCCTCAGAGAAGGCTGAACACATGAAGTTTGGAAGGGTTTTCCCCTCTCTGTGTTTAGTGTTATTGATTAGCTAAAACCAAAAATGTTGTTGAAAAAGATTATTATTTCCATTCATCAGTAACAGCAGGACAGCTTGAGGGGTTTTGGGGGAATTCCAGAAACACTCCCCTGGAAGAAGACCAAGCATGGAAAGCTTGAATCCAGAAGAAAACTTGTCAGCAAACAGACTTGTAACAGGCATCCTGATGTACTGTTAACTTGAGTTAAATCGTGTAAACAGACAAATGTCATAGATAGCAAATGAATATTGTCAAAATCAAATTTATTCAGAAATAACTTACCTGGGAAGTATGTGAAATTTCCATCACTTAAAGATTTTACGGTGATACTGGGAAAACATGTCTTATGAATGCTTTTGGTAAAGTTGGTTCTGCCCTGGGATCTAGATGACATTTCAGGCTTGTTTACCAGATTACACTAGACTATCTATGGATAAAAAAAAAAGTAAGCACTGTGAAATAAATTCTTTTTGTGTATTTCTGCAACTCTGTTTAAAAAAAAGAAAAAATTGGTCTCTAGTTTGCATCCTCCAAATATTTCTCCATTGGATTGGATTTGAGTAACTTTTATCATGAATGGGTCTTCTTTTAATAAGAGCCAACACAAGGTGAATTTCCTTCATATTTTTCTAAATATGACTCAAAGTCTATGAGTAAGACCTGTAGATGCAGGGTGCTAAATCTGGGAGTGTCAGCTCCTGGATGAGTGACCGTTAGGTTCTGCTTTCCTAAGAACTGTTGTGGTTTCTTGTCATAGTGCATTGTGAAACACTGCCCTTTAAAACTGTAGCAATTCTGTCCAGGAGATGTGTTTGGCTGATAAATAATTTATAGGAAACTTTTAAAATTAAATCTTTTTACTTCTTCCCCTCCCCAGTTGGACTGACTGTGGAGAGGAATTTTGCTTATAAGCAGGAGAGAAGGGAAGGGAGGGAATTAATTATTTTCTCAAGCTGTGGTGCACACTTCTAAAACAGCTGCTCTTGTTTGCTTTCTTAAAAAGGAAATGGTGGTACAGGGTAAAGTCTGCTTCTTAATAATTTAAATATTCTCAACTGCTGCCAGTTAAACTGTACCATTAAGATGTTGTCATTTCTGATAGATATTTTTCCTGTGCCAACAGTGCTTGAAGAAATAAGGATTTTCATGTACTACAGTAAATTCTGTTTAGGTGGTAATAAAAAAAAAAAAATATACAAAAACTAAATAAAAGCAGGCTGTAGCTCTGGAAGATGTTCACTAAGAAGCACAGTTTTAAACAGCTTAAGGAGAGGTTGGCTTTAATATTCTGAAAAGGGTGAATAGAGAAATTCACACTTGTCTTGCTGGCGAGTTGTTTGCCTGCCTGCAGGACAGACAAGGCGCCACAGCATTGATTTACGTTGCTTTCCCAGAAGAAGGACTAAAGCTTGTAAGGCTTTGCATCCTCTTACAGTTGTCTGCTTACTGAATGACTGCATAAAGTTCCCACTCTTCAAGCTTTGCTTTAATTGGTGTGGCCTTGAGTGCGAAGGCAGTGACGTCAGAGCACTCCAAACAGTGACAAATAACTCGTGTTAGGCTGAACACGGCAAATCTGCAAAAAGGAATTAATTCAAAACTATCACATGCTTGTTTCCTCTTCTGTTCAGGCAAAAGTGCCCTGCTTTACTGGAGGAGTATGTCTGGGACATATTTCTGTAGTAAACATCCATTGTAAATTGCTGTATTTATAATTCTTTATAGTCATTTTAATTCATCTGTAATCTAACAGTGACCTGTATTCGTTGTGAAATCAGAGTCTACTTTAAGGAAATCTGCCATGTTTATAACCTAGATTGGAATTGTTTATCATTTCTTTCTGTGATAGCTGATTGTTCTTCTCTCTTGCTTTTTTCTTTCCCTTCTCTGTAGTTTACGCTTATTCCAGAAATTTGACACTTTCCGGATTCTAGTTTGTGGTGGGGACGGAAGTGTTGGCTGGGTTCTCTCCGAAATTGATAGCCTCAATCTTCACAAGCAGGTACCTGCCCAGCAAGCTTGGTTGGATGAAAGAATGAAGGAATTACAATAGCATGGGTTGAAGACGACTTTCTTTGATCATACAGATGTTTGCCCCAGGACTGAAGTCACTGAAAGCTTACCACAGCAGTTTTCTTGCAGGAGTTTTCTGCAAGAAGCAGGACCAGACTAATTCATTATTCCAATCTCCATTGCTCCCCCACAACTCCCTCTTACAAGATCCAGCCTTTGGAGTAGCTCTGAGTTACTCCTGCTCCATTGCCAGCAGAGACTTACACTCAGAAAGGGCTGCAGTTAGACAACTGGGAGTTCCACAAGGGTAGTGCTCCTCATCTATTCACTTTAATTCTCATGGTGGTGTTTCTGAGTCCTGGGATAGACAGAAACTTCATTGGAGTAGAGTTATCATACAATGTTTAATTTGTTTCCATTTTGTTTTGGAGGTGTCTGCTAATTTTACAGAAAAAGCAATAGCACCACCTGATGGTTAAATAAATACATCTGTAGAAGGGGTTACTTTTAGTAAGATGCTCCTTCGAGATAGTAGCTGTAATACACTCCTCTCTCAATTAACAGCTTAAAAGTAGAGGAAATTTTTCCTCACTTGCATGCTCTTCTGGCTGTTTTTGCATTCCAGTTACTTTCTCCTTCCCTTGGGACTAGCTGTTTCTCAATGACTCGTCTGTGTAAGGAATCGGTCATGCTACTTGTAGCTGTTGGTGGCTTGTGTCTTCCCACGCGTTTTTTTATCAGTTTTGGTTTCCTTTTCTCCAATGCAGTGCCAGCTGGGAGTGCTGCCCTTGGGAACAGGGAATGACCTTGCCCGTGTGTTAGGTTGGGGATCTGCTTGTGATGATGATACCCAGCTCCCACAGATCCTGGAGAAGCTGGAGAGAGCCAGTACCAAAATGCTGGACAGGTGAGTCTGACATCCTCCCCTGCTCAAGAGTTGTGTGAAAATACCCTCCCAGGAGAAGTGGGCAGTTCTTGATTGTACCCAGCTGCTGGACTTCTTACTAATGCCAGTTAATGTTTTTTCTTTGATAATCTTCTGTCACCCTTTAGCAATGAAAGGTAGTCTGGCTTTCTGTGTCACTGCTGCAGAGTAGTAATGAGTGAACTTGTGTGATGTCCAGCATCCACTCTTGTGTTCCAGCGTTCTCATCAATTGAATTTGACAGCCTTACAGTCATGATTTATTTCTTTAAGCTAATTTTTTTCTTGGTGAATTTGAACCAATCTTGAGTTTGGCTTAGAAATGAAAGCTGAATGCAGAAATGGACATCTTTACCGCTCATATTGATATCGCCTATATATCTTTGAACATTTAAAAATACTTGTCTTTAGAGTTGCATCTTGACATCTGTTAACGTTCAATCAATGCCCATAGAATTTTTTTAAACAGTATTCCGAATTAATATTTTTAAAAATTTGACTTCAGCTTTGTCAGCAGATCTATGAAAGATGCCACTCCACCCACACACCAACTTTCCTTTCAGCCACTTTTCTCTCCTCGGACATTTCTGTGATAGAGGGAAGAAGTACAGAAAAGGTCCTTGTGCTGTAGAGTACTTGTTCACAGTGTCATCCCTTCCTCTTCCCTCAGTTCAGCCCCCCTGCAGTTCCTTTGCCACCCTGTGGCTTCCTTACATCAGTCATGCTCCTGCCGAAGTGCAGTTTGTTCTGCTTGAGGATCTAACCTGTTATGTCCTTTGGATAAAGGTGGAAATCATCTGCCTACAAAGTGACAGCTATGATGTCTCCTTTTCAACAGGTGGAGCATCATGGTGTATGAAACCAAACTCCCTCGCCAGGCCTCCACTTCCACAGTCACTGAAGATTTCAGTGAGGATTCTGAGGTACCTCATGAGATGCAGAGGGCGGGGGACTGGGAGCAATGGCCTCAGAACAGACAAGATAGGAGGCAGTGGTTGAGTTCAAGTGGAGCAGGCCTGAGCTGTGACTCGGGTGAAGCAGGAGCTACAAAGATCCTGGGTCTTTAAGTCGAAGAAGGATTAGGGAGAAGGGTAGAGGCTGGGTTACCGGAGTCAACGACCATAAAAAGGAATGGGAGGAATATACTTTGGAACAGGACAGAGAGGAAATAATCGACTTTTATCTGCTGTCATGACATCATGTTGTTGAAATTGTGAAAAGCTGCATAGCAGTCATAAGAACCGTAAAAACCCAATTTTAGATCCGTAGTTAATCAGAGACTGCACTGCTGATGATTTTTAGGTTCAGAATTAGTTTATTCATCAGATTCAGATCTTCAGTGGGTAACTGAGCCCTGGACCACAGAACTTTTCCAGGGCAAAAAGAACCTCTAGAATGATAGGTACTTTCTAGGGAGCCAGGGTTACACAGCATAAGTTGTAGTGTTGGGAAGCAGCACCCCAGTGGCTTGTTTCTGACTGTCACCAGGTGCAGAAGATTCTCTTCTATGAAGACTCTGTGGCTGCTCATTTGTCCAAAATTTTGACTTCTGACCAACACTCAGTGGTCATCTCCTCAGCCAAGTGAGTACTTGCAGGACAACTGCTGTAAGTGAAAGTTGCACTGTGAAAATCCTGAGAGAATCCCTGCATGACTTTGCACTACTTTCTTTGTCTAGGGTGCTTTGTGAGACAGTGAAGGATTTTGTGGCTCCAGTAGGGGAAGCCTATGAGAAGGCAACGGAAAGCTCAGAGGAATCAGAGGTCATGGCCAGGAAGGTAAAATTGGAAAAATTGTTTGGATTTCTACTTCCGAAGTGGAGAACTGCTCTGTTTTCAGAGAACTAGGACAGCAGCAGTTCAGCAAGTACTAAAAGAATGAGCCACCCAGTCTACTGTTATTTCTACTCAAATGTTGTTCTTCGCCTTGTAGTGCTCTGTCCTGAAGGAGAAGCTGGACTCACTGCTGAAGACACTGAATGATGAATCTCAAGCATCTTCATCTCTGCCAAACCCTCCTCCCACCATTGCAGAGGAAACCGAAGATGGTGATGGGTCAGGCAGTGCTTGTGATTCTTCTAGTGACCGGTCGGTGGGTTCGTCATGTACTGCACGGCCCCAGATATTTCGTCCCCGAGAACAGCTCATGTTGAGAGCCAACAGTTTGAAAAAAGCCATTCGTCAGATAATAGAGCATGCAGAAAAAGGTAACCTGTTAGGAGTTCTGCTTGTGACTTGTTACAGGCTCTTGAGAAGTATAAATTTCCTTTATTCCAGAGGGGAGTAGTGTTCTTCATTAAGAACAGCCTTCCTGAGCTGGAGAAGCTATTCAGTAAGCTTGGCTATTTAGTTTCAGTATCATCTCTGCCAAGCCCACCTGTTTGAAGCATTGCTTGGTAAATGAGCCTGAAGTTCAAGGTATGTTCTCTCCCATAGGGCTGGTGTAGGAAGTTACTACCCTCCCACACTCTGTTCATTTGCGTTTCCTGTCTGTCCCCACCCATACCACAATTGTGTCAGCGCAGCTGTTTGTGTGGCCTTGCTTTAAAACAGATCTGAAAATACTTGGGAAGAAAGTATTTCAAGTATTTTAACTTGGATTGTTTTGGAGATCTCTTTAGAGTACAGCCCAGCAAAACAGTGCAGTGGGACAACTGCAAGAGAGGGCAGGAACTTCTTAAACTAGCTTTGTCACTGGGAAAATGTTATAATACTGCATCTTGATGCAAATCAGTTCTGTTCTGATCTTAACTTCCTAGGCAGGTGACCCTCTTCTCCACATCTTGACCCTTATCTCTCTCCAGCCACTCACACCCAGAGTTCAAAGTTTCATTTCCTTCGAAAGGCATCAGTCTCTGAGATGCTAGTCATAAAATCAGTGGTTTAACTTAGACCAAAGGAAGTACTTAACAGCTTATTACTGGAGATGAAAGCATTGAAGTTTCAGATGGGACATCCATGCACACCTCAATGTGTGCTCTGAACAACTCTCAGTTACAGACCATTGCAACGTTTCCAGCACTGCAATACTCTATACAACCTATCTTGAAATTATATGAGGTGATGGAAGTTGAGCAAACAGCCTACTTCTGGTGAAGTAGAGGTCTTGACCTCACTGCTGCCCCGCCTTGCTGCTGCTTACCTTATGCCAATTTGATGTTTGCTGGAGTCGTTTTGGAGGCCAGCTAGTTTGCTTAATCCAACAAGAAGAGTTTATATTTCTGCTGGGCTAGTGGGTTGGATTGCCTTGTTGGGTAGTTCTTGTGAACTCCAGAGTCAGCCCAAGGAGGGGAAGAGGCTGGAAGAAGGGGGACTCGTTCCCTTGCAGAGGCAGTGAGCTGGTAGATCAGCTCGGGGCTTCTCACAGAAGCTGTGCCCTGTGAGGGGCTGCTCAGGAGGAAGGCCTATTGATTACATGCAAAAGAAGTTTTGATTTCTTTAGGCAATATGCTAGCATTTAATTCTTACCAGCTCTTGGCCAAACTCCACTTATGTTTCAAATGTATTTGTTCAACTTCTCCAAACTGTTTTTCTTCTTCCAAAGTATATAATTTGATTCTTTCCTTTGTTTGTATTGGTTTTTACCACCTGCTATTTTCTTCCTCCTGATTATGCGTCTAAGTGCCCTTTTCAAGTGGGTTATCCTATTACCCCAGTACAGATTAAGTAAACAGAAAATTCATTAAATTTATCATTTAGCATGCGTCTGGTTAGAATTTCTGGCAACATATAAATGCAAATAAATGGAAGCCCATCACCTGTGGCACAGTTTACATCCCAGGAAGCCTGAGTACCTGTAGCGTTAAAGGTGGATACTTGTATTTAGAGCCTCACTGCTAAAGAGCACAGCAAAGAAAACAGGAGGCTAAGCCAGCCCAGTTCCAAAAGCTCTCCAGAGTAGAACTTAGTTAAGACAAATTATGTAGGAAAGCTTTTTGTTATTCTTCCCTTTAAGGAATCGGGCCTTTAGAGTCCCATCCTGTTGTTATTTACATCAGTGGGAGGTGTCCCTTGCTAGAAAAGCTGTGAGGCACTCACCTACTTTCTCTCTCTCCTTACAGCTGTAGATGAGCAGAACGCCCAGACCCAGGAGCAGGAGGGCTTCCTCCTTAGTCTGTCAGCCTCTGAAGAGGGCAAGGAGCTGAGGAACGAGGATAAGATCTCCCTGCAGTCATCACACAGCAGCAGCTATGGAGTGTCCAAAGGGAGGAGCCAGCGGAAAGGTACTGCTCTGGGGCTGCCACCTTGCAGATCTTGCCTGCCCATTATAATTCTGTTGTAAAAAGTGAGGGAGGCATTACGTGTATTACTATCCAAGTTCTGTTTGTCTCTAATTTTTGAATGATTGCTCTTCAGATGCTAGGCCTTGCACATTCCTATGCTCTAGGCTGTGCATCATACACCTCACTTGTCGCTATATCCCTGGTGGCTGGTCCATGATGTTAACATAAGGAGCCTATGATTCAGAAATTTTCTTACACCTTAGCCAGTAATCTGCGTGCTTTTGGTGCTTGGACAAGAATGGTCTTGAGCATTTTTCATGTCATCTACCTGATGGCATTTCACTGTAAGCCCCTGCCATCCTTTGCAGAAGACACAGAACAGAAGCCAGTTTGCTTTAATAACTGTATTATGTGAGTAATTGGTTAGGGATCCCCGATCACTGCAAATATATTTGGAACTTATCTGAGTATTGATTGGGAGCCGAATACTCTGTCGTCTGCTGGCAACAGCTTTTTCTCATTGCCACTTCTAATATTTGCATGTGGCATTTTGATACCTCCAATCTGGAGGTTCTCTGGCTGCACATACGCCGCATCTCTGTCTCTTAATGACTGGTTCTGTCAACTCTTTGTTTTATGGTGGTTAGAGTGTTTTGCTGTTGAGTGATTTCTAACCCAGTCTTGCTGCTTGGGCTGTGCTGCTGTGTGCTGGTCTGAATCACAGCGTTATGTTTGTCAATAGCCGTGTTTGTGTTGTGTTTTACAGTGTCCAAGTCTCCTTGCGAAAGACTAATAAACAAAGGAAGTTTGTCGCTGGGCAGCTCTGCATCTCTTCCTCCCCAGACAGGAAACCGGGACAACTTGCCAATGCTGAACACAAAAATCCTCTACCCAAGTACGTGTAACACCCACCACTTCCCATTGAGGCAGCCAACTGGAGAATGGGCGACAGCAGCGCAGGCTGCAGTCTCCACATGAAAACATTAAATTGTCCTGCCTGATATCTGTTTGTGCAGGGTCCACTTGGAGAGAAATCCCTTTGTGGATAACTCCCCATTAGGGCTGAAAAGTGAAGACTGGGAGGGAGTTGTAATAGATTCCAAATTGTAGCTGAGACCTAGACACAGATTTTTATTAACACAGTCCAGTGGCAGAATTTACATACCAGTTACAAAGAGGTCAAAGTAACCTTGACAAGGCCGATAAGATGCTGCTGAGAGAGGTTTCTGAAGAGTGGCAGCCATGGGCGGGGAGCAGCAGTCCCTTCTTGCAAAGGCTGAAGTCACTGGAAGTGCACAGACCCAGCAGAATTCCTACCTCACACAACTTGTGTAGCAGCTTTGCCCCATCACTGTGGTGCTGTCCTTCCACCTCTTCCCTGAAATCACTTGTTCAAATTGTTTCTTTTGGAAGCAGGCAATTTCCTATCTCCCTGACAAAGCTACTGTTTGTGAGTTGACAGCTAATAATTTAAGAAGCAGGAAGCAGTAATTAGTGAGCAACTTGGAGAATAACTTCAATCCTACCCCTTTCCCTCTGCTCATTGAATCCAGGATGTTGCATGTCTCACCCTGGAGCGCAAAAGCTACTGCAGTGAATACACTCCTATGTCCCATTTCCATGTGGCTGTACAACTGTGCTGCTGGCCTTAGGTGATACCAAGTCAGTCAAAAACCCCTGCAGGCAGCCCCCAGAAACCCTTCTCCTTATCGAGAGTGCTAATTCTGGAGTAGAAGGAAGCACTACTGCTATTTCCTTTCCACAGTGAATGACAAGAGTTAATATGTTCTGCCGTGTCGTCTTGTCTCTGAGCTTGAAATTACCTGTTTTCTGCTTATTATTAATCACACCCTTCCCCATGATCAATTTGCCTACAGATATCCGTGCTGGCATGTCTGGTTCTTTGCCTGGGAGCTCCGTCATCAGCCGATTGTTGATCCATGCTGATCCCTTTAACTCTGAGCCTGAAAATCTGTGAGTATGCTCAGGAGGTTGAAAGGAGGGAGTGGGCATTTCCAAATGGACCTCAGCAGAGCAGCAGATTACTTTATAGAGCTAAATAATGGACTGCAGCAGCCCAGAGTTACGTAAGTGAATTCATATGCTGGGTGCCAGTGAGGATCAGCTTATGTAGCAATACATGCAGTGACACATCTGACTCGTGGTAGAAGATTTTTAGGTTTTAGGTGAGAATGAATCTAGGTCAGTTTTCTCCCTAAACTCAGAGATTACTCTGGCTTCCAGTTAGTAGACAGTAACCTGCCGGGGAATGACTACCCCTACAGCATGGAGGCCCAGGAAGGGCCATGAGCAGGCCGCAACAGCAGAGGCAGTTGGGAAATGTGATTTGAAGACTTTCTCAGGCTGTTTAACAGTGAAAGTCCAATGATACAGACTTTTAAGGTTTTTTTTCATGGAGTTCAGTGCTCCTGAGATGAGTAGCTGATGCTTTCGAGCTCATTTGTCAGGCTCTCTGTAGGTAACACCCTATATATATAAAAAAAAGATTAGCATTGTTAAGGTTTTGTGAGGTCCTTTTACACAATGCCGGTGACCAGCAACATAGCTTTTTGTAAATGAAGTGTAGGCTTCTGACTATGTTTTCTGTGGCAAGAGGAGAATTCCTCTGCAGATCTTGTGGCTGTGAAGTCTTACGGACAGAGGCTGCAGGCCAGCGACCTCTGCTCAATAGCCACTTTTATGGTATTCTTTGTGGGTTTTAGGCAGTTCCCAGCAGTGCTTATCAGAGTACGTTGGCATACAGCGTTCTTGTTCTTCACCTTTCTATGGAACAGAATTATGAGCTGGCCAGAGGGGGCACGTGAGATGTATACTAAATGCTGAGTAGACTTAGGAATGGGAGTTTTGTTCTTTTGTTTGGCAGTGAATGTTACACAGAGAAGTGTGTCATGAATAATTACTTTGGAATTGGACTGGATGCAAAGATTTCTTTGGACTTCAACAACAAACGTGATGAGCACCCAGAGAAATGCAGGTGGGTTTGGCTTTGGCTGACCTTTGGCTACTGCCAGAAGTGACTAAAACCACTTTATGTTTCTGTGCGGTTTTGAAGCCGATTGTGTACAAGTGTGCTGAATAGGTATATTGTCAATCTTGTCTGCATAATCCTCCTTCGAGGCTTGAAATCACGATGGAGGAGGTTAGCTACTGATTCATTATGCTGTTGTGGCTGGTAGAAGATCTTTGAGTAGCTATGTCGGTGTGGATTTAGTGTGTTGGTTCTGTTTACTTCATGATCTCACCCACAGAGTTTTTCTCCTGAGCTTGCTATTTAGCTATGAGAGAATCTCAGCTCGGCTCTAAATGCCACAGAGGCTGGTTTTGGCCTTGATCCTAACTTAATACAAACAACAGGATTTGGCCTTTTGAATACCTGGGCAACTAAGGATGCTTTGTGTAGCGTGGGATTGGTGCATTTGCTATAATTGAGCTAATACTGCAAAATACTGTTCGTGTCCTGGTGTACGAGACTGACAAGTTCTGTGCCAGGGAAATCTGTGTATGTTTCTGGTAATGTGTGTTACTCAGTCAACCTCAATTCCTATCTGACATTTATTTAAAGGGGAGTAGCTTCCTAGTGTAAGCCATGGGCATTTTGAGTGCTTGACTCTTTTGGAAGCAAAGCACCTTTGTGTTTTAGAATGTAGGTGAATGGAACATCATTTCAGTGTGGGGTGTTTTTCCTTTTAAGTGGAAAGGTAAATGCTCATGCTGACTTTTTCTCTTTTGATTCACCCCCTTAGAAGTCGTACTAAAAACATGATGTGGTATGGAGTATTGGGCACCAAGGAGCTGCTACACAGAACATACAAAAACCTGGAGCAGAAAGTCTTGCTGGAGGTGAGGAAATAGCATGCCCTTCTGTTGCTATAACTGGGGTGCCTAACTGCACCTCCTTCAGACACTTTGACTTTGGCATGGTGATTCTCTTGGTGACATTAGGGCGTTGCCCTTGCCTGCCTGATACAATATCTTTGCTAGATCTCACACTGAGCTCGCTAAAAATGGCTTTTCCTGATTCTGGACGATAACTTGTCTTCTCAGCCTGTTAAGGGAAGCGTCATCCTGCTGGAAGGTATCAGCTGTCCCCAACTGAGTATTCAGCATAGATAAAATCGTCACATTACATGTGGCATCTCATGTGAATACAACATTTTAGATAGTAGGTGCAGTGGAAGGCATTTAACTATGCTTTAACGTGCATCAGACTGGGGAAGAAGTATTATTGTGTGGGCCATGTACAGCATAAGTAGCTTGCTCATCATGCTGACTTGCATAGGTGTTTCAGAAGTTTTATCCCCCTTTCTGGAGGAATAAACTAAGAGGCTTTGCCAAGCCTCTGAGGTGTGCCTTGTTTGGGGAAAAGAAGCAACAGTATCTGTCTAAAATCCATGTTTGCAAAAGGAGAGGTAGTTTATGAGACAAGAATGGATATGTTCTACTCTCCTAGGACAAGAATAAACTGGAAGAAACCTGAATTCATTTATTACTAAGCTGTGCAGGCTGTTTTCTGTTCTCAGAGCATGTGCTCTGGCAGGACGGCACTGTCCTGCTGTGCTGAGAATAATGTTGCCTTCTTTTCTGTGCAGTGTGATGGAAGGCCAATCCCTTTGCCCAGTCTCCAAGGAATCGCCGTACTCAACATTCCCAGCTATGCAGGAGGCACCAACTTCTGGGGAGGGACCAAGGAAGATGATGTGAGTATTCTCTAAGCCAGTCCAGGAGATGTTTTAACTTACTGTTGCTTCTTGTCATAGCCCCTGAGATTAGTGCTTGGAAGAAGAGGGTAAGGGGCCTGTCTGCATGTACTTTCTCTGTGAAGTGGATAGGATACTGAAGTCCAGTCTTCATTGGCTTCGCACCCAAGCAGTCTGTAGTGATTCAGAAAAAATACAGAGTGTGAGCATTTGGACTTCAGGAAGTGCTTTACATTGACCTTATCCCCTCAGGCTGCCTGAGAAGTAAAGCCCCTTGAAGACAAAGGGAGTTAGATCCAGTCAGAAACATTGTATTATTTGAGACAGAAAAGTGCCTACTCATAAAAATAATTACTGCCTTGTAGCCTACAGCCTTCGTGTTAGCTGCCATTGGAAGCACAGTGGGAATATCAAGGCTCCTTTTCCTCCCTCCTAGCTGACTGCAGATCTTCATCTTCTAGCCTTATTACTAATTTTATACAGATTAAAAAGCACAATTGAAAGCCAACCCCCAAATCTTCACCAGTAGGGGGTAAAGGAAACCTCTCCAACAGAGCTGTACGTCAACTGAATTCTCTCTCCCTTCTATCTGGCTAGACATTTACAGCCCCCTCCTTTGATGACAAGATTTTGGAGGTGGTAGCAGTGTTTGGTAGCATGCAGATGGCAGTGTCACGAGTGATAAACCTACAGCATCACCGGATTGCACAGGTATCCATTGCTTTTGTGAGCTCTTCTTGCCTCCCCCATCACAGCTTGTGACGTCTTTGCCAGTTCCAGTCATTAAGCCCTCCTTCATTAAGCCCTAAGAGCGTCCATCAGGGCAAAAATGAGCATGTGCATGAGCATGTGCAGGGGCAGTTTGGTCATGGAATTTTTTGCTAGCATTCATTGCACTTAGACCACCATTTCAAATACAGATTAGTCCAAAGACGCAGCACGTGGTCCCTGCTGCACAAGGGGAGGCATGCCCTGCCACCCAGGCGCATGTGCCTCTAGCAGCAGCAAAGCGACAGTGCTTTGGGAAGAAAGAGAATGTCTCATGCTTTTGGAAAACCAACATTTTAGACCTTCTCTGTTGCAATTGCTTCTTGCAGTGTCGGACGGTGAAGATAGCAATCCTAGGAGAAGAGGGAGTTCCCGTGCAAGTGGATGGAGAAGCCTGGATCCAGCCTCCGGGTTACATTTGGATCGTTCATAAGAACAGAGCACAAACCCTCACCCGAGACAGGGTAAGAGCAGCCTTACGTACACTGTGTAGTACACACGTTTCGATGTCACATACTCCTGGAGAGCATGGCAGCGGCCACCCATGAAAACTTATCTTTGTGTATGTAAGAAGCATATTTTGCTACACACCATAAAACTTTTTGGAAAGAACATGATTAAACTTGCATTCACCCCTTGGGAAGTCGCATAAATAAGGTTGTTATGCAAGCTTATTTTGCTTCCTTTTCTAGGTGCCTTGTGGCAGTGTTTCTTAACATGCTTGCATGCTGTTTTTCCCACAGGATGCCTGCCTCGCTGAGTGCTGTGGATTGTCTAGATTCAGCTGTTCAATATTTTAATTTCCCATTATTGTTCAACATGTGGCTTATACCTCATTGACCAAGTAAAGCAGTGTCTTATGCCTTGTTCAGCAGTGTGTGTCTGTCTCGTCTCATAATTCTCAAATATATCTGATGAGTAGCAGCACATAAGGTTTTTCCTGCTGTTTTACTGTATTACTGAATGGTTGTAAGCCAAAGGAAAGGATGAAGGCCTTGCTGTAGCACAAACGGGCTTCATGGTTCCTCCCAACTCTTAACTGCCAATGTGTAAACAGTGTAGTTGGTAGCAGCTCTTAATACTTTCCAGCATAACGCCCCTTTACCCAGCTTCCAGGGTAAATTGAAGTCCTCTGCAAAGGACTCGCCTGCTGAATAACAAAAAAGAGAACAACCAAGAGGAAAAAGGGGAAACAGCCCGATACAGGCCTGAGGCACATTGCCTGGCAGGAAGTTACAAGTATGATGGTATGAAAAGAAAGCAAAGGTGGGCATACAAAGCCTCTGTCGTGGTAGGACAGGGCAATACCCAAGACACCTTGAGCTGGGAGAGAACAGTGGGTATTGATCACAGAATCACAGAATAGTTTGTGTTGGAAGGGACCTTTAAAGGTCATCTAGTCCAACCCCCCTGCACCTAGATCATGTTGCTCAGAGCTCCGTCCAACCTGACCTGAAATGTTTCCAGGGATGGGGCATCTACCGCCTCTCTGGGCAACCTGTTCCAGCATTTCACCACCCTCACTGTAAAAAATTTCTTCCTTATGTCTAGTCTGAATCTACCCTCTTTTAGTTTAAAACCATTACCCCTTATCCTATCACCCCTTGATGCAAATGTTGTGGAGAGGAGGAGACAGGAGTAGCGTGCACATTTTTTTCTGGAAGTAAGGGAGCTTCTGCAATGTCATGCTGAGGCTTGGAGGGTGAGTGACTGAAGGAGATAGCACATAGAACAAGGGGGAACAGGATTCCTGC